TAAAGCTATCGATTTGTTGTGATGCGTTTGATCTAAGCTGGCTAGTAGTTGTAAGGTATGCGTACACAGTGGTTATCTGGTGCGAATGAGTGACCGAGTGCTTCAGCTAGTGTGTCCAGTGTAACCTATGCGGTTGTTGTGAACAGAAAACAAGTAGCCCTGACAAACTACGAAAGCTATTTTTCAGGGCGTTAGTCCACTTTATTCAAAGCTTGTAAAACAATGACATTTAGTTTGTCCCTAATTTATTCTACAAAACATAAGCTTTCGTTCGATGTATGATTTATTGCTATGCCCTATTTTGATTCCAAAGCTATTGTAATTCAAACATAATATTTTGCACCCTATTTTCTACTCTAATTCCTAGCTTTGGACGAAATTGTATTTTTCCGAATTAGCGTGCGTTGTGGTCGGGTTAGTCACTTATTTATTCATTTTCCTTTTTACACTAATCTGAACTGAACTCAGGATGTCGAAAATAGATCAAGTACTGTTCCACTTGTCTTCTCTTATTAGCGACTTGTCAGCCAATCAGGTAATAGAATAGTTTTCTCCTCTCCACCCCATTTCCAACTCACGCGTACTAGCCTATCGCGCCAAGGTCTTAATGTGGATTAGATAAGTATCCTTGGCGCCAGGAGTGGGTAGACAGACTAAAGAACATAACAGCGGTTAGCAGCAATTTCAAAGACTCACAGATCTATTTATTTTGGGGATTTGTTTGCCGTAACAATCGTTTACGCGAAAGACCGTGAATAAGGAAAACGTGAAGCGGACTAATGTCAAGTTAAAAAACAGTTTTATAGGAAACGTCCAGGTACGAAATTTTTAAAATCAAATTTTCGTTCGTTGGCATTTAAAAAAAAGGCGTGTTACTCAACAGCAAGGGCGAGGGATCTTTTAAAATATACAGTCAACTTCAGAAAATAAATTGCAGTGTAGATTACTGACGTAGATGATTTGTGTCGAGTGATTTGGAGCTCACTCGAGTTAGGTGGAAATAGTATGACTTTAAAGTCCCGCCTCGCCATCAACACCTAATGTGGATTGTCTTTACGTCGTATCAGGATACTATTGCTGCTTTAACAGCGTATAACACAAATGACGTTATTACAGAAATATATTAGTGAAAGTAGACACAGCCAATTGTGTGGGCCAGTCTGTAGAGCATGATTATTCGGTGTGCATCAGTTTCCCTCGGCGTTGGCGGGGATCAATGAGCTGTTCGACGCTTAGTGACTTGGATAGTTTCCAGTGACATTTCACCGATCCTACATTTGTATTAATTGTTAAGTAGTCCAAATGATACCGGTTCACACACCTAAAACAGATTCTCTCTTCAAGTGTTTTAACACCAGTACTGCAAAATATAATTTGATCACTACTAATTGATGTTTAGACTTCTCCATTTGTAAAAATGTAAAGAAGTCATGACATGAGCTGTTCAAATTACAGTTGACATGAAACTTATTTATTGAAAGCTCATTTTTGTACTCCTAGCTATTTTAAAGTCGCGTATCTTAGTACAAAATTAATAATTCTTCAGAACTTGTTTTGTTATTCAGAGGTTGTTTGTTTAAATAATCTAATCAGGTGAATGTCATAGTGATTTGTCGCCTGTCAACTTTTAGATGGTCATTATGGACTCCTCTGACCTACATCTTGCAACTGATTATGTTGGATCATGTGGTATCGTTTTGACACCTGAACAAAAGGCGACGCTTAATACAACACTGACTATTTTGAGGCACGAAAACAAGTTCTCGTATGTGTCGTTTTGGGTATAATTCGAGGAATCAATGGAGACTATTTCATTGCTCAAGGAATAGGCAAAGATGTATTAAAAGAAAAAACAAATCTGTACAGGTAAATAAACAGTAATTTAGGTAACCGCTTTACTTTAGTAAAGATTGCACAACATGGGGGTTGTTACCTGTACCAGGGAAACAAGATATAGAAAAAAGTAAACTTTTCAAAATGAGACTAACAGGTGATCCTTCACATGAAGCTGAATACGTTGAGGTGAAACAAATGCCAGGAGAAGGTGATGAGCTTGTCGAGACTGAAGAACTTGTAATCTCTGTTTGATTAACGATTGGTATATGAATTAGATAACAATGAAAGAAGAAGATAGACTTGCTGCTATTATTTACCGCATGGAAGAGGAGGTTGTTATTGTTCCACGTGGTGCATTTATACGAATGTACAACGGACAGGTTGTGAGAAATAAATCTTTTGAAGGTAAATGGATGCAATTACTCATACAAACATAGGTTTAACTTGTGCTGAGGCTTCAAAGCTATTATCATACTTCCATTGTCGGCCTCCTGTAAATATGTCTAACAAACCATTAGCCGAAAGAGCAAAGCTGGATAAAGCCATCGATTTTTTAGATACTATTGAGGATGATAATCCTGAAGGTGAGATTCTTTTTTATTAAGACTAGATATTTCTCTACACTCACTTTTGGATGTGAGAAAGGCAATCTTCCTGAGGTTTTAACATTTAGTTCGTAATCTAGTGGAATAATGGCAGTTATTTCGTACTCATTAGCTGGTGATCATGAGATTATTTTTCATAGATTGAAAATGAACAATATTCTCTTTTTCCCGTCCATTTGGACGAAAACCTTTAATCCATTAAATATCCACATTATAATTCATACTTAGAAAGACCTATTAGCTGCATATATGTTTTGGACTGTAAACTAGTATCCTCGGCCATGTAAAGCCAGGACTTTAGTGTTCGAAGCGTGGTATACAATTTAGCAAAGTGCATGGTCAGTGAGACAAAGGCTTGTGCACAAACCTCTTGATTGTCAGGTTTAGTTTTTGATTGTTTTTTATCACCCGGAGAAAATTTGGATTTCAAAACGTTCATTTTCCAACGGTTTATGGGGTCTATTTAACTACTAGTGAATAGTGGTGAGCAAAGTAAAGACATTAGGTTGAATTCCCATCTAGAGACTTATCTTTCGACAGAAACCGGGGGGACATGAATGTCAGAGAGCATGACGCAGTCTCCTAAGTGCGCCAAGCAACTAAACAATAGTTTCTTGGATGCATTTTTATCCTTATTAACCCAAGATGTCGCATCGCAACTGATCTATACTAACGCTTATTCTGATCATAGTCAGTCATACGCAACACAGAACCTGACATGTATATCGATCCGAATTGTCACACCCTATTAGCAGTGAGACGAAATTGTTAGGGTTATTCCCAGAGTTGTAACAGTATCAATAATAATAGAGAAGACTGGGGGTCGGAGATGTAACTCGGGGAAATATAAACTAGTAAAATAAAAGAATTCATAAAATCATTCGGTCTTGGGTTCTAAGAGGAAACAAAGATTGAACCTGTGCAGTTGTGGATGATTTTGAGCCATGTCACTTAGTTACTAGCTGTTGGTTAACATAATCAAGAGGACCCTAAGCAGATAGTCTGTGCTTTTGATGGAGTTTTGTTCTCTAAGCTGGATGGTTTAGTCGTGGAGCTTTCATCGTTCTTCTAAACGACATCATCAGCACAAACTTCAGGTAGACCATCCTCCTGGGCTACAAATCTTCCCCACCATCTCAGATACTCTGTGCATACCTAGATTCGAATCAAAGTATTATGATGCCTTTAAAGCACCACTTATTCTAAATGTCTTATCAACCCTCGTGTGTGATAGGCGAAATCTGGGAATGTATTAAGATATTTAGACTTTGACAGTATGTCTGCCAACCCAAGGTCGGATTTACTAAGAGCCTTTCTAATTTACTTCAACCAATGAATTTACATGTGCTCCAAGAAAAAAACATGTAGGGTATTTCTAAGTAGTGACAGATAGCTTCGAAGCATCACTTGTGTATGGTGGAGCCAGTGACTAGTCAGGCATAAAATACTAGGTAAAGATGAAGGATCAGTTGACGGTGATGTGTATCTTCACTAACTGACCGGACTAGAACATGTACTGAGTATCCACCTACCGCATCCTTCAATGACCAACGCTAATCGGCTGAAATTGGAAGAAAGCTAAAGACAATCAAATGAAGATCGTACATCCGTGTATTAGGTCACTAACTGCTGATATAAGCTTTGTGGATAGGTACAGGTTTCCTGGTTGGGACCACTGACATAAATGTGTTCAACAGTTGGACAACTTATATAACATGCTTCGACGTCGGATACTATGGCGCTTACGTGTTCGTATTCCATCTTCTCTTAAACTATGATCATTTTATGTTTTTAGTCCGTCAAGTAAAAGTAACTGGCTTTAGTTCCTTTATTTCTATATATGCTAATCCCCTCAACTGTTTCTAGGTGTTCTGCCGTGGTGTTAACTTTGGCCGATATATATTGTGTAGTGCAGTGAACATTTCGAAAGCTATGTCCAGGAAAATATTGTGTTGCGCAAATATATAAGGTCATGAAACAACAGACAAAGGTTTGCATATCTGGTGAGATAAAGGCATGAATAACGTAAGTTAAAAGAATAACAAGACTTCGTTAGGTGGTAATTTCTATGATGCTAACGCAACTTCAGACCTATCCAACCGAAAACTAAGATGAAAATGGTGATAATGTAACCTTGAGGCAGGTATAATGTTACTTAGGAACTAACCATAACAAGAGTACACTATATACTTACAATACACCATTGGAAAAAGACTGGAATGAGTCAATTATATGTGCATATAGGATAAAAAAACCTGGAACTTTTATGATGGATTTGAGAATCTTTTTCACTAGGGCGGTTATTATTAGGTCAGCTTTTGAAACAGCTGAAAATCTATAAATTACAAGGGATCATCTACACGTACGAGTTACTGACCAGTTGTCAGCCCATAGCAGGCGTATTTATGTATATACATTTTAATATACATGCAAATTTTACTTGTCGGGGTCGCGTACTTTACAAGTGAATATTACAATGATTGTTAATTTTGCACATTTAGACTAAAAATTTTCTATAAACTACCGCTTTACAATTTGAAAAGGTTGTTGGGTGATTCAATTTGAACGTGGAGGCAACCTTGTTCTGGTCAAAAGTCTTTTATGGATTGGATATGTTTTATATCACTTGCCAGGTACAAACAAATATGGGTCAATTTATGTTGGAACTGGTGAATATAACATTGATCTCCCATTTATGATATAATGCAAAAAGTAAGTGAACTATACAAAGAAGTATAAAATTTGATGTATTTTACAGAAACATTGAAATATTTGTATACAAATACTTAAAAAAGTTGATTGGAATGAAAAACTAGTTTGTGTATTTGTTTATTTGATTACTCTTAATGTAATTGAAGAAACAACAGGCCGGAAATATCTAACACATCAAAATATCACAGGAATATATTAGAAATACATTTAATGACCAGTAATTACTCTTTTGTTCTGGGTGTGCATGAGAGTTTGTCGATAAATGCTTGTCTATTTCTGCGAATTTCTTCAGCTGATATTCGATTTCCATTATTTATGTCAGTTTGAGCTGTATTTTGGCCGATAAAATTCGACTCATTAGCTAAGAAGAAAATTTTTTTTAAAACAATCAGTTTGATAAATTTCAGTAATGCAATGAGACGAAGATCATCAGAACTGTGATATTTTAGCGTAACACGTTTTAGACAGTTTGATCACATATATACTTGTTAAGATATTCATACATGAAAATATTGAAGACCAATTAGGCAAATTGGATAGTAAGAGAAAACAAGGATAATGAGGAAAAGTGTAAAGCTCTACACTGGATAATAAGTCGATAGTATCGAATTAGGCTTCGAGTGGGAATAAACTATTTTTGAATCCACAATAACGGTTTGAAATTTGGCATGGTCAAGGCTTAAATAAGCGTTATTATACGCCCTTTATTATTCCTGCACAGCACTACAAAAGCTTATTTGATATCAGCCCTATGACGCATCTCACCCAAATGCTATAGGATGGAAGATGCTTGTCAGTCAGCTATAACGTAGGACCAGGCACATATATGCATCGGTCCAAGTTGCCATACCTCAATTAGTACAAGATGAACACCAAATTCATAGTAGTTACTTCAGTGGTAGTAATATATAAAATGCATATAAGGATATAATACAGGAAGAAAGAATTAATTCGTAGAAAGAAAGGAATAAAATTTGTATACACCTACTCCACTGTGGTTGATTCTGAGCCATATCACCCAGTCTCCAAACATTGGTTACGATAGTCACAAGGACCCCAACCAAGTAGTCTGCATCTACCAACATGGCTTAGAATAGAAGTTAATAGCTTCAAGGACTGATGCCACGTTTTGATTTGGTTGCCCCTAACTTTCTTCCAACCATCCTCAACACTAGGCAGCATTGAGCGTCGCGGTAAACGGAGTGGCCCAACCATCTCAGTTGACGAAGATTTACAACATCAACTGATTTACCATCATTCCCCATTACCTTGCATCTAACCTAACTATTACTTACCCGGTGATCCCAGCAATATTTCTAAGGCATCTGTGGTCAAATACTAGTAGCTTACGAGTGTCTTCTACTCTTAATGGCCATGTTTCGCTGCCGTAAATTAAAACAGAACGGACTGCCGCGCGGTATACTCGTCCCTTAATTGATAGACGGATATATCGCCTTCGCCAAAGGTGATGTAAGTTGGCAAAAGCCAGATGGGCTTTTTGAATCCGTGCTGAAAGTTCGTCACATACCAACCCGTTAGCGTTGATCAAACTCCCGAGATAAGTGAAGTTGTAGATGCTTTCGACAACCTCACTCCCTATCCTTAGTTCAAATATTGACACAGGCCAGTCCTGAATCAGCAGCGTTCATTTAGAGGGGGAGAAACGCACCCCAAACATTCTGTCATTGTTCCTCAGTGTTACCAAAAGACTGCATCTTATCAGCGTCTTCACCAAACAGGACTATGTCATCTGCTTATTCCAAGTCGATAAGTGAACCTGCTGGAAGGAGATAAATGCCCGAGAATTCGGTCGACAAGGAAGTTATTTCCATCAGTATGCCTACGATGAAATTGAACAAAAACGGACACAACTTGAGGTTGCAAAACTATGTACTTTCATTTAACCATTGGGATTTACAGCCACACACATATGCGTCAGCCAACCTTGCTTGTAGATCACGAATGCTTCTCACCACGTATGTGTCCATCCAAACATGTGAAGTGATAGAGTCGATGGGATGTGTGGCAATCGTTTACATAGTGGTTGATTTTTTTATTAGCAATCAGTGGGACTTTTTACACAGCCTAACTCATGTTTGTCAAAAAATTAAGTTCTACATTTAATAAAAAACCTAAATAGTATTTAGATGATTGTCACATCCTATTGAATCGGTAACGAGAATGTTAACAAGTGGTGTGTGACGAACTTGCATCATTAACTGGCCAATGCTTGTGATAAGAAGCTTCTCGAATTCGAGCGTAAAACAATGAATCAAGTCAAAGCATAACCAAATACTTGTTTTCACCAAATAGCCTATTTTTTCTTCACTATCTGAATACAAAGCAAGTGATTCATAATTCATGAGCAAACTGGATTAAAAGAAGTAAAATACGCAAAACATGTATTTACCAATACAGAAATTATCGCATCAGTTAGTGTAACCTTACTTCAGTTGCTTCTAGTTATAGACCAAGAATACTAAGATAACGCGCTGAAATCCTTTACGTGTTAAGCACAATTGTTGGGACAGTCAGTATAACTATAGGTGCACGTACTGTACAAATGTGACTTGTAGTTTAGTACATAATTACAGATCTGTAAAAAAAATACCACTGCTAAAAATATATAGATAATTTAGCTTACTACAATAGTGATGATGATAATATTAAAATTGACAACAGATTCAAATAACACACCTTGCAAAATACTTACGAGTATTAAGGCTTAAAGCAATCGCTTCTCGTAGTTCCTTGTCAGACGTATCTTCGTACTCCTGCGGCAAAAAAAGGTTAGCGAAACAGGGGCTTGGTGAAATCAGGCAATCAAATAAATACAGAGCAATCCATTTTATAATGGGTCCCAAAAAATATCAATTCATGAAAGGTAGCTGCGGCATCAGAACTTTATTTTGATTATTACATAACTGAGATCTACAGACACATTTAATTTACAAACAACTCAGTTGTTCATTACCCAAATGAAGCTATAAGATGTTCGCCTGATTCATGCAGCTACAAATAAATGTGCCTGCTTTTAGAATTTTGATCTCCATAATCTAAGACCCTCTAGTTTTGGATACTTTGTACGTCAATTAGTGAGTAGAATTCACTTTAACAGATAACAGTCCTAGATGGAAGGAAAGACACCCTACCTAACCTGGTGACTTTAAACATTCGACTGTAGAAACTGATAAGTCATAACGCTACTAGCTACGGGATGAGATCGTTAAAAGGTTTGTACCAGTACAAGTATCAATGTTTCAAACAGAATTGATCTATATCTTTCGATATGATATGAAAATGGTTAAAACATTGGGTAAGAAGACTATGGTGTAAATGTCTTGATAATATTTATAAGAATGATCGCCCTTTTTATTTATTTGACCACATGTGGCAACCCATTAGCGTATGTTGAATAATAAAATTGACAGTATGGGTGTGTTGCGGAATAAAGTCAAATGTGCTGACTTTAGAACTAGCCTTTTCAAACCAAATTTTTCAAAGAGTGGTGAATACCACCTTTGTATGTAATCTTATAGGATTTTGAAAACAGTTTACAATAGTTATGTGATTTCATCAATGAACCACACTCACACAAAAATGGTTGTCTTAATATCATTATTTTCTGCCATACTGTAACTTAAAGTAACAAGATTCAGAGATAGCATAGGTTGACCGCGTCGAATGGATTGAGAAAGCACGAAAATGTAAATATAGAAATTATTAATTAGTACACCATTCAATAAATGCATGCACGCCAGCGAATAAAGGTGCAGTTAGTTGATTCTCGTAAGCAATCTGTTAATATATTTATTTAACTGTAGTTCTTTAACAATACGCCAATCTTCCCTAAATAGGTGTTGTTATTTGTCTTCGTACAGTTGTAAGTTAAGTCTCATTTGCAGTATTCTCTCTTTTATGTATTTGATTATCTCCCATCTGACTGCTATGAATTTATTATTACAATATTTATGGTTAAAGTTACTCCTCATAACTTTGTAACTAGAAATGAAGTTGTGAGGGAAACACAAAGGCAATATATGACTATGAGCAGGTTTAAAATGTAAGTTCATGTCGAATTAACATGAAAAAAGTTTACTCACACTTGCTGAAACTCTTAAAGCGAGTTGTAGTTCTTCATCATCATTTTCGGATGATTGTAAGATGCGTTGTAGGGTTTGGTCATCATCATCAATATCTGCATTACTGACAGCCAAGGCGACATCCACTTCTGTACTTTTATCCGGTTGACTTGTGCTAGTTGTGGAAGATCTAGTCAAGTCGTCTTCAACAACAGGACAAATCTAATGAATTGTAACAAATTTATTAATAAAAATGAGAATATATTTTGGATGCTTTAGTACTAATCTGGATGTGTGGAAAAATTGTCGACTACATGTTTATCTATGAACAAGTGTACTTGAGAGTATAGTACCTTATCAAATCTAAATCGTTTAATGGGACAGTCAGAGACGATGTTACTTACTAAAGAAAGCCAGACCGTAGTGAATCCAAGTTTTTAAGATCATTAATATAACCACCTAGTTGAAATATAGGCTGAATTTTTGTTGTGTACTCAGGCCGTCCGAGTTTGCTGTTGATACGTAAGCTTCCTAAGCATACTCCCAAGCCAACTACTTGAATGAGAAAGGCAAGCGTGGATAGGAAACTATTGGCCAACTAAATCAAAGATACTTATATGTCTCCCTCAGAAAAGTAAGCCAGGTTGTCAATCAATAGTGTATATAGGTTTCCCTGTAAAGTTAAGTCAAATCTTATCCAGTGGTGTGCGCCTGTCAGTGTCACTTATTTATCATTTGACCTGTGTCTGGATGGTTCAGCTCATCACTTTACCTTCCTGCAAAATAATTCTGGCTTTTGGATTCGGCTATAGGAACTGAGGCGATCGAGACAGGCCTAGTGGTGAGACGTTTTCACGAGCTTTGTTGTACTTACGGTTTAAGTATTTGCATATATCAGAACTGACAGAATAAAGGGTAGCTAAGTGCCGGAACTGAACTTCAGAAGAGAAAGGTCGAATCGAATAGGGATAGAAAGAGCTTAACAGCATAACAAACATGAAACGTCAAATGACAGAATAAAAACAAGTGAAATTTCAAATTAAATTGGCGTACGGATAATATTTCGTCGGCTTCACATCGAGGCAAGGTACCAGTGATAATAAATATTGAATTCCCTTCTTCTTTAAGTTGAGCCAAATAAATAGCTAGATATGTTTCAGAAATTAATTTAGGTGCGGAAAGAATTGAGTTGAGATTGAACCATTGCTTCCCAATTTTCCTTATCGTAAACCAGTGATGCCGGTAGTGACAAATAAAAGCATTCTGACTAGCAGGATTTTCCCTAGCACGTTCTGCTTCCGGACATTGCCGCAAAAAAGGTACAAGTTCTAGAGACCATATCTGCAAAGCTTGGCTAATAACCTAGGAATACAAATACAACAAATTTTCACCCATAGCTGAAAATACATTGAATTACGTGTTCACAACACTGGGACTACACTATTTTAAAATTTAAACTTAAATATGAGTAGCGAACTGACTGAATACAATAAACATGAAGTATACGTGCACTAGTGATAACATTAGAAACGTAAGTAGAAGACAAACACTACAAAAGTGTGTTCGTATCCAGTGACTTATAACGTCGAACTATGAGGGAACCTTACGAGGTTTTACCACACTGTCAACAAAAAGCAGTACGAAACATCACTGGCACTGGTTAACTAAAATCCGCTACTCGCAAAACAATCGCCAACCTTTATTAAAAATGAAATCCTCAATTACAACTACGTTTGTGATTATCAGTGGTGTCCAAGTAAAAGATATAGTTTTGTGTTACTATTGCCTGAACCTCTAGTACTCGTGTCATTTTCATTGCATATATATCACGACAATATTCATACCACTGAACAGCGGAAGTTTCCGTAACATCTGAAAAAGCCGCAGCTCATGTTACTGGAGACTTTATGATCCAATTTGCAACGATTATCATGATTTGTCTTAGCCTTAGCCGTGACCGGGCAAAAAAAGTGCAGGTTCGAGCAGAATTTTTTCTCCAACATATAGTACAACGAAATACAATGTCATCGCGGTGGTCCGCACATCGTGCTGCGGTCATTTGATTGCCGCAGTTACAGACACAGGAACTTCATAATAGTCCCATCTGCTGTAGTCTCTCAACGATCACCTCCTCTCTAAAATCTGCTGTAAAACGACCGAATGTGAGCATCTCACATTGAACTTAGCGCCGTGACCTTGAAGCTCCTTAAACGCTTCTGATTGGCTCGTCTATAAATTAGAGTCCTACCGACATTTTCCATCGTATTTGATCGGGAATGGAAGAAACACGAAACAATAACACTTGTAGACATTAAAAAAACATAACTTAATGGGGCACTACAGGAGTATACACACATCGAAGATGGCTAGTAAGAATAATGTACTTTTATCGATTGTATGACGGATATGACCACCACGTGTGGACATGATTTAATCGGTAGAAAATTCAACAGATATATAAGATAGTTAATTAATGGTAGGTAATACATGAGTTTATCGGCCTGTGTTATATCAGTCTTCAGTAACAAGGATAGGAGGTCTATCAACCTATATTAATCGCTGCAGTTTGTAATACTGTGGAAGTCCAATCTCGTTTTCAATATATCAACAGACGGTGCTGATATCCAGTAATTCACTACTAAGTGCGAACCATTACTGAAACAAAATCAAAGCGTCTCTCCTTTTTCAGATACTTACCTGTACTGAAAAGTAACCACTTTCATCCATATTTTGAAAACAATTTGACATACCGCGACTGCTTCCCAACTGGGATACTTCTTCATCGTCTAACTGTTTGGCAATGTTAGCTAAATCCACTGCAGTAAAATAAGGGCCTTGTAGAAGCGCATTTAGGCAGTGTTGTGCACACAATGATCCATCTTGCTACATAACATTGAGAGAAAGATAGTCAGCCCACCTTCTCGTGAAAAATCAGATCCATTTACACTCCCCGCCTCTAGTGACCTAAGTTAATAACCTATATGTCTATACGACAAAACAACATTTACCGTTACCAAGAAAATCACAAGAATCACCAATCCTCCACGTTGATTCAGTGATCAAAGTTTGTTCCTCTGACGATGTTTAGTTTTATTTCGCAGGACGTGATGTCAATCAGTTTTATTCGTTGAATACATGATACAGAATGAAATCGAAGTCTGATTTCTGAGCACTTTTGAAATGGTCTCAAGAGTCACAAATGACTAGAAAAAGAATGTAATCTCAAGTCGATTAAAACTCGACTTACTGCCTGAAGGTATTCGTAGTTATTATTGATGTCGTAGGTAGTCAGTGTTTGACAACGCTTCTACCAGTAACACCTTCTAATATATTTCGTTCCCACCAAGAGAAATCAAAAGACAGAGTCGAGGAGATCGGAAGAGTATATTTGGCGATGACCAATATATCGGGATTCTCTGATCTAATCTGGCTAGCGATTGTGGTTGATGTTGAGCACGGCGTTACTACACGTGATCTGGTGCGGATGCCTGACCGAGCGCCTTCAGCTAGATGAGTCCACTAAAACATATGGTCAGCATCCAATGTCGAAAACTTACAGAGCTATTTATTTTAGGGATTTATTTACCGCTACAGATCACTCCCCCCCTAGTGGGGCAGTGACGACCCTAAGACGTGGCCAGCCAGAAGTTTAAACCCAACGAGTTTGTCGTTGGTAAACACTCTTCTGATAGCTTACTAAATTTAGCAGCGTCTGGTCGTCTTTCCTTACTATATGGGACGGAGGTACAACATAGTAAAAAAAGAAAATGTACAATGAAAATTTCGGATCCTCATAAACGTCATCGTTCTTTTCCAGCCGTCCTGGAAAAGAAAAAAGAAAATGTAAGTGCATGTCGAAAATACACTCGTATATGCGTAAAAACACAAGGTCGGCGGAAAAAAAAGGAAAATAAACTCATGAGCACGTAATAGCGTTAAAAAAATTGTTTTTTTTTTTTTAATAGAAATAAAAATATATAAGCATATTAAAATTGTTTTTTTTTTAAAAAATAATATAAAATGTCGAGAAGTGCCTTACGTGCAATAGTCGTTTAAATGTTCTGGAAATCTCACCCTTCTTCCAGAACGCGTCGTTTTAAGTTTATTTTCGGATACTGTCGAAGTATCTTCGTGTGTTGGTTGTCGGATGAGGTATTATGAGTGTTGAGTCGTGTCGTTCGATTGTACCGAAGGAAAATCGACGTGGATAGGATTTCCTTCTAAATACGCTGCTTTTAAGCGATCGATGCTGATGCTATCGTTGGTTCCGTTCTTATCGACTATATAGTACTTAGATTCACGTTGAAGAACTTTGAAGGGTCCTTCGTATGCTGATTCGAATGGTCGTCGATGCGAGTCTCGACGAATGAAAACGTGTGTACTATATCGTAAGTCAGGTTGAACGAAAACATCAGTTGATTGAGGTCGAGTGGAAGCAGGTTTAACTGAACGCATTGCGTTTGTAAGCCTGTTCGTGTAGGAGGTTAGATCCATGTTCATCGAAGAGCACGAAGGATCCACGAATTCTCCTGGAAGTCGAAGTGTCGTTCCATAAACGAGTTGAGCCGCAGTGTATCCAATGTCAGCTTTCACTGCATTGCGGATACCTAGTAAGACGAGTGGAAGAGCGTCGGTCCATTGTGAAACGTTTGCAGCTGATAGCGAAGCTTTCAGTTGTCGGTGAAAACGTTCTACCAACCCGTTTGCTTGTGGGTGGTAGGCGGTCGTTCGGAAGCGAGTGATTCCTAAAAGTGTGGTCAGACGACGGAAAAGATCAGATTCAAACTGACGTCCGCGGTCTGTAGTGATGGTTGAAGGGCAACCGAAGTTTGCTACCCATCGTTCGACGAATGTGCGGGCCACTGTTTCAGCAGTGCTGTCCTTGATAGGTACTGCTTCTGGCCATCGAGTGAAACGGTCTACGCAGGTTAAGAGATAAGAGTATCCATTTGAATCTGGTAAAGGTCCTACCAAATCCAGATGAACATGGTCGAAACGAGCATCGGGAGTTTTAAACGAGCCTAAGGGACATTTATTGTGTCTGATAACCTTAGATTTTTGGCAGCTTACACAGGAGCGTGCCCACTCCCTCACGTCTTTATTCATGCCAGGCCAGCAAAATCGTTCTGCTATAAGCTTGATGGTTGCACGAACACCTGGATGAGAAAGTTTGTGCAATGTGTTGAAGACATTGCGTCGATAATGTTTCGGCACGATTGGGCGATCCCTACCTGTAGATGTGTCACAAAGTAAGGTTTCCTTACCTGTTCCCATCTGTTTGATGCGTAGTTTAAGTGTTGTGGACGATAACTCGTGCTGAAGATCACTGTCTTCTTTTTGAAGCTCGGCGAGTTTAAGAAGGTCGATTCCTTGGAAACTGTTCAAGGAAGTTATACGAGATAAAGCGTCTGCAACTACATTGTTTGCTCCAGAGATGTGTTGAATATCTGAAGTAAACTGCGAAATGTAGTCCAGTTGTCGAGACTCACGGGGAGAGTACTTGTCAGAAGGAGAGCTTAACGAGAAAGTGAGCGGTTTATGGTCCGTGAAAAGAGTGAATTCACGGCCTTCGATATAGTGTTGGAAATGCCGTACAGCACAATACATAGCTAGGAGTTCCCTACCGAATGTGCTGTACCTCGATTCGGTGTCTAGCAACCTTCTAGAGAAAAATGCCAAGGGTTGCCAGGAGTTGTTAACCCATTGTTGTAAGACTCCTCCGATTGCTGAGTCGGATGCGTCTACTGCGATGCTAATGGGTGCTCGGGTGTCCTGATGTGCGAGCATTGTTGCTTTAGCAATCAGTTCCTTAACTGTGGAGAATGCTTTTCGTGCGGTGTCGTCCAAATTAATGGATTTCGCATTTCCACGAAGTTGGTCGGTCAGAGGTTTCATAAGTGATGCGCATTTGGGTATGAAACGTCTATAGAAACTTACCAGGCCGTTGAACGTGCGTAATTGCTTGACGGTGGTCGGTTCTGGGTAATCCAGAATGGCCGCCACTTTGGTTCTAAGGGGTCGGATACCTTGAGCATCGATAGTGTGTCCCAGAAAGTCTAACGAGTCGGTTCCAAATTGGCATTTCTGAACGTTTACAGTTATGCCATGTTTTTGTAATCGTTCGAAAACAAGGTCCAGATGCTTGAGATGTGTTTCTCTGTCCGGACTTGCGATTAGACAGTCGTCAACATACGCGTGTACGAAGTTGAGACCTCGAAAAACGTCGTCTATGAATCTTTGGAATGTTTGAGCAGCATTCCTTAGACCGAAAGGCATTCGCAAAAATTCATAGAGTCCGAAGGGAGTTATGATAGCCGTTTTCGGTATGTCGTCAGTAGCCATAGGGATTTGGTTATACGCTTTAACCAAGTCGATTTTCGAAAAGACAGTTGTACCTTTCAAGGTAGCTGTCAAATCGTGAATGTGAGGCAACGGGTAACGATCGGGAATGGTTTTCGCGTTCAATCGCCGATAGTCACCAGTTGGACGCCAATCGTTGCTGTCCTTTTTAGGGACCATGTGCAACGGAGATGCATATGGGCTACTTGACGGTCGTATGATTCCTAAGTCCATCATGTGATCGAATTCGTTTTTCGCTAACCTTAGCTTTTCAGGAGCTAGTCGTCGTGCTTTAGAGAATACAGGTGGTCCTGTAGTCGTGATGTGATGTGTAACATTGCTGGTTACACACGGTAGTTTCGTTGAGTTTGTTGTATCCCAGGGTACTTATCGAGTAGTGGTTGATAGAGTGGGTCTATCATATGTTTAACTGTGACTGGGGATACTCTACAACCAGTAAAAGAAGTTACGCAAACGGACAAATTAGTGTTTCCGTCTACTAGCCTCCGTTTGCGAGTGTCGATGATCAGATTGTGGTGTTGTAGAAGGTCCATACCAATGATTGGCATAGAAACATCTGCAACGACGAAAATCCAGTGGATGGGTTTGCGTAAACCCACGTTAAGGTAAACGTACCTTTTGCCATACGTAGCGATCGGTTTTCCGTTTGCCGCCTGTAAGTTTAGGGTCGATTCGTGAAGTCGGTCGTTAGGATTTGCTGGGAGAACGCTAACTTCTGCGCCAGTGTCGACGAGGTAGCGAACTCTCGTTGTCACATCTGTGACGAATAACAGACGGCTTTGTTCGCCGGCTACGGTTGCCGTTAACGCGTGCCGGCTTGGAAGTTTCCCGAATTTTTCGAATCAGTCGGTTTCGTGTTGGGAAAATTGCAGGGTTTTCTGCAATTTCTGGAAAACTTTCCATACTGGTTATGATACCAGCACCAGTCGGGGTTATCTGTCTCTCGTGGTCTAGAGACAGATCGCTTACGAGAAATGCTTCTACGTGGTGTGCGCGATCTCTTACGGTCGGTACGAAGACTAAGATAACGCGTGAGTGTGTGACATAAGTCGGTTATGTCATTCTGAGTCGTGTGAGGCTTTTCTTTGACTGAAAATACCTCGGTAGTAGAAGGTTTCGTAATTTCTAGAATGCGGTCGGCAGATACAGCTAGTTCGTCTAAGGCGTTGTTCTGGAACGAGACCAGAACTGCTTGCACCTGTTGGGGAAGTTTTGACAAGAAGAGTTGTTTGAATAGACCTTCGTCGAAAGTTCTTGGGCCTATAACCTCTCTCATCCGTTGCAACATGTCTGTCGCAGAACCGTGTTGCAGGTCGATGTTGTTGAAGAGTTGATCTAACCTTTGTCGATCGGTTAGGTCTCCTCGTTTAAGAATCGAGCGTTTTAAGATTTCGTAAGGATCGGAAACATCACTAGTAAACATACTAGGTGTTACGTACCTGTTGAATTCGCGCGGTAGTGCCTTGACTACTGCGAGGAATTGTGCACGTGTGTCGATCACGCCGTGCTCGGAAAAGTCGGCTTCTGCGTAGCAAAACCAGGCTTCGATGTTGTCGGGCCAGAAAGGCATCAGTTGAAACGAAGGTGGGGACAAGGTCTTAAGCTTGAGTACTTTAGGTGTCTGTTCAGTCATGATGAAATATGAAGTACGATAATGAACGAGGGGAATATATATATATATATCCAAGAAAAAACACGAAAAAAAATCACAATGTTTAAAAAAAATAAAAAATAAGGCAATGATATATAAAAATCCCAAAAAGGAACAGACTCACAGTTGCAATAAGGTGTACCAGATCACGACGGTCTCACCAATGATGAT